CTTTGATTAGAGGGTCTCTAGTCACGTGTCAACGATGTGTCTATTAAGCGGGGAACACAGACTCTTGCATAACGCATAACACGTAATGCATAAGAATATGTACCAATCGAAGTTCTCCGTTTCTTTCCCTTCCATGTAACAGAGAACTCTGGTTGGTTCAATTTCTTATGCCTCATGTGTTATGCTTTATGCAAGAGTCTGTGCTCCCCGTTTAACATTTCGAGAAGTCGTTGCGACGTAACGTATGACGAGTTGGCACGTCATAGGCCGATATTCATAGTCAGATCTTATATTCAAGATCGTCTTAAGTATGGTTTTAAGAAGTCACGAACCAATCAGAGCGCTGCATTAGCGTCTTAAGACATTACTTAAGATGGTCTTGAAATAAGAATTGATTATGAATACCGGCCATAGAGACCATGGTGGAATTATAGAAGGTGTGTCGTTCCCGTGGATGCGCAGTAGCCTAAAAGTAGTGGGGAGTGGACAACCAATCATGGGGGGCCCATTCGATTAAAATCCAATATGGCTGTGTTTATTTTAGGGCACTGCGTGTTTAGCGTGTTATTATAACAGATCGACCGTGTGATCAATTATCATGTAAAACTGACTGGATTTCATGTATTTTGCGTGGAAATTGTATCGTTCCTTCCAATGATTTCATGGAAGCAGCAAAAATCATGGATACTGAATTTCAGTTATTTCACGGAGACTTTTTTTTAATATGCAGGACAATATTTTTGATACATTAACTGCGAAAGTAGGTCTGAAACTTGAGTACAAATTTCCGACGGAGGTAATCGCATGTTTGGTGCGAACCAGATCGTATATTAGGTTGCGCAATGTAAATATGCAAATAAAAATAAATAATGTAATAAGAAAACAAAAAAAAAAAATAAAAAATATGTGCAATCGTATTTCTAATTAGTAATATTGTTACAGTTTGTAATATTTTATATTTTAATGGGTTAAAATAAAGATTTCATTGTTATTTTACTTCTCTAATACTGTTTTTATTAATCATCTGCTGTGAACGTTTGAATTCCACGCGTATAGAATGAGCCCTACGTGATTGGTTGATAAAATATGTCCCCCCACTCTCTGCCGCCATTATGCGCAACGACACATCTTCTATAATTCCACCATGATAGAGACGTGTTTGTCGCGTATTGTGCAGGCAGGGCAGACATGCGACATTGCGTCGGTTGGGTTAGGTCGTCATCGCCATTTTGATTCGGTATAAGTATTTATAACCATAAGGTACCTTTTCATGTTGACACTCCACGCTCGTTTCCAGCTGTTTTTAGCGTCAAAATAAATCATAAGATCGAAATTGATCCTTGATATTTGCCAATTTCTATCACGTGACTTAGGGTTTTATTGTGCTCCGCACAATAAAAGGAACAGAGAACAGAGAACAGAGAATAAATATTTCAATCTATCAGAAATCATGTATTGTGGAATACACAGCGTGTTTTCCACAATACATGATTTCTGATAGATTAAGGCTGTTTTCCTTTTAGGAGACACAGTCGACACACTTGACACAAATCGACACACGTCGCTTTCCATTTACAATTTTGTTCAAACTCAATCGACACACTTCGCCTCTGCTCGGGAGCAGAGTCAGAGTGTGTTTCGAGTCTGTTCAAGTGTAATTTTGATGAATTAAGTGATATTAGAACGCACCCGCAAACCAATTTCCATCATTTTGTTCTGTTTTCAGCATCTGGA